AGAAGAGGGAATTCACCCTTGGTTTGTTTCCTCCTGCTTGTCCTTCCAGGACATAATGGAACTGTCAGAAGAGTTTCTAGAAAGTTAGGATTGGGCAGATAGTTGAGTCCTAATCTATCAAATCATTGTTGCCTCTCATACCAAAATGTTCTTACCTACAGTGTCCCTTCTGCCTTCCCTGCTTCGCAGTCCCCAAGGACTCTGGGCACTGTGCATTGTCTTCTTTGCTCTCTGGTGAGGACCTTCCGCCTGTCATGGTCCCCTCAGCTGCCCTTAGTACCTAGCAGTGTTTCTTGAAAGAAGTTGTTAGTTCTTCTGCTGACTTAGGGCTCCCTGCCACAGACAGCACAGCTGAACCCCTAATCCCATTCCATCTCGGTTCTGTATGGACTTTTCCCATGCACGGGAGGGAGGCAGCTCAGGGACCCCCATTGTGGAACCTTTTGAGACACCTCTCTGACTCAGAAACACACTTCTACCTCTTTGCTGTTAACTCCTACAGATGTAGCCAGCAGCCTGGGCACTTCTGTTAGTGGCTCCTTTGGCTGGCTTCTCCACTAGGGTTTCAGGACAGACTACCTAGGAACTGCCTCAATCTCCCACCAGTTCTTCCCTGCCCCTCCCCTCTGTCTAGATTCACTTCAGTTTATCATTGGGAACTGTGCAGGTCCAAGACCTGGACTCCTGCTTCAGCCCAGGCCAGTACTCCTTGTTTGAGGTGAAAGCCTTCAGATTTAACTCCCTGGCCCTTGTTTGGAAGCAATGTGGAGTGAATAAGATGTTTTGATTTAAGCAAGGTAGCTTGGAATACCTTTTTAAAAAACAAAACAAAAAAAAACAAAAAAAACAAAAAAAAAACTGGATATAAGTTATGTCTGACAGGATTGGAATCAGACTAGGTGATTTGCTTCTAAAGATTAGTTTCAGTGAGTCCCAGGGACTAATTAAGGTTTGTTTTTAAACGCGTCTGCCTTGGTACGCAACCATCTCCTGCATGCTATGCATGTTGTCGGGACTCGTATTACAGGAAGGGGCCTGTGAGAATCCAAGTGGAACTCACTGCTGCCGTTTTCCTTGTGTTTGGTCTTCACTAGACCCAGGCCCTTCTCCCTTTGCCTGCCACCTCCCTGTTGCCTCATTTTCAGAAACCAGTAGCCTCCAGCCCCAGATACAGTGCACTGGGCTGTTGGAGGGGCCCTGTCCTCCTGAGCTTGTCCCTCCCTTGGTGCTCATAGGACAGCAGAGCACCTGTCGTAAACCTTGTAACTGGGGCCTTGTTCCCACCTCCAGTCTTTTCTCCTTGCATTTTCTCATCATCCTCTCTGTTTCTCGACTTTTCCAGTGTCCTCACTCTAAGGAATTTTCCTGTCACTGTGAACTTGGCTGGTTATCTGCCTTCACTTGTTTGGACCACAAACCACCCTGCAGTTTCTTTTAAACCTTTCCCCAACCTACCACCCAAAAGAGCCTTTGTGGCCAGTTGTTAAAAGGATAAGAATAATTTATTCTGTGCTCGGTGCCCAAACTCATTGAAGTACCCCTTATGAGGCCAAGAGAGCCAGAGGGGCATCTGCCCAGGACAGGAGCCATGGCATGTGGCACAGACCAAGCAGGGACCAGAAAAGAATGATGTCCCCTTTCCTTGCCATGTACTCTAGCCTGTCAGCAATGCATTGACGGCACGGGGGACAAGCGCCCCTCAGCCTGCACAGCAGCTTGTCAGAGTTGGAACTGTCCTGGGGCCAGGGACTAGCATGCCCGGGTGTCAGCTCAGAGGATCCTAGCACCGTCTTAACAGGTGGGCGGCAGGGAAGGGCGCACCTGTGTGTCTCTCCCCGACTTTACATGGTGTTTTGTTAATACAAATCTGGGGAAGCAGGTGTGATTGCTTTTGTTCGTAGATATTATCCTAAGTTGAAATTTCCCTAAACCCCCCTTAGGACCCTTTAAGTTTCCCATCCCTTTTTGGTAGCGATTTTCCCCACCCCTTCTCCACGAATTAAAAAAAAACAAGTTG